TTATGTCGAAACTCAAACGACAATGGCACAGCAGTGATTAGTAACTTACTATTTTCAGTAATTGGAATCAATCACTATGGACGACATTCCTTATAAACGTGTGAATCTCAAAAGAAGTGAATTATTCATTAAAAATCTTTTGTGAGTGGAGAATAGGACCAGTAAGCGAATAGGGTAGCAAAATAAGTAAGCTGCAATTGATTATGTTTATCAGCGAGAATCGTGCGTGTGGTCCCTGCTATACTACTCTTTTCGAGAAAGTTGGTTGATGGCATCAATTGCTTTCAGTAGTAAATAGTTATGTTTTACACTCCAACTGGTCATCGACTGACGATTGGAATAGTCAAATATTCGACGAATAAAAATATTTATACAAACAAATCCTGCATATCTATCCTCATTCTAATTCCATTGGTTCTCATCATAACACTTGAATTTACTTCGAACATAACCTTGAATTTCTTCTGGTTTTGAGTTTTTGTAAACATACAGTGGTGTGCACTGAGTCCACGAGAACCTCGACAAGTTCTTTCCTATGTAAATTTTACTTTCAAAGAACTGATTAAAATAAAACGAACCGAGACACCCTGGGAATCTGACCCCATTTACGCATTGAATTTGGTCTTGATGCTTATATTATTTATCCAGGAATTGACGACGTAAAATATTATCGCTCAATTGTCTGATAGAAAACCGGTTCGGTGGCATTAACCTGCCCAGGACGAGCTAATGTCGTTGACGGCTTGATATGGGAACCGCGCAAGCACAGCACATCATTATAAACACGTGTGTTGTATCTGGGATCTAAACTTCCATTAATTATTCAAGCTAACCGAAATTTCATCTCTAGAAGCGTTAAGAAGTTTGCTAATAATGCTCCGCCCATGCTAAGTGCTACCGAAAAAAAGCCACTGGAAGAGTATGGTACAAAAAACAGGTCTGTTTACTGAAGGTCAGAGCTCTTCGTGTCTTGCTCTTAACCGGCACGCGCAGGGCAACTTGGTCGTATTTTTCTCAAGTATTTATAGGAATGTATGATGTTCCATTCTTCTACACGAGTATCATTGAAAAATTAAAACAGCTCTTGAAAGATCCAATAAGCAGGGAAGCGAATAATGATTGCGGTTTGGAAAGATTCGGAAGTAATTTGCATGCATATTTCTTGAGCGTCAATTGGTCATATGAAAAAATATAAGTTCAAATGTTTATTTCATTTTCCTCCATAATAGAAATGATCTTATTTCAACGTAGTTTATTTAGACGCAGGGAATCTAAAAGTTACCAATGTACTAAGACGCAAAAGGTGTAAATAAAATAAAAAAGGCGTAGAAGTATTGCATCAAGATGAATCTCCAAAGGAGAACTCGAGTAACCCTGAGCTTGAAAGCATCCTGCCACGAATGCAGGGATCAGTCAGTCATGGCTGCCCGTAAGATCTCTCTCTAGAAATCTAGACGCCAAGCAACAAGTTTTTCTGCGAAGACATCCTCCTCTGCTTATCACCGCGGTATTTTTTCGCCGTCTGGTTGGTTTTTAGGATAATGAACATAAGCCCCGAATTTGCGAGGCCATGGGAGCGGGCGAACACCGCCCGGCGGTACAAGGCTTCAATTTTGTTACCGATAATTTAACCTTGAATTTTCAGGATCGGCAAGCAGAACCCGAATAGTTTTTCTGTATCAAACTGCGTATGGAATCTATATCTGTGAACTGCATACTAGAACTTCTATGCGCTTCTTTTACTCTAATTGATTATGCACCTTAAGTTCGGAGATGAAATGTGGAAACAAATCTTTTGGTGCGTTAACTAATAACTCCAAATAAGTCATCAGTCGGTCAAATCGAAAGCTATGTTCATATAGAATAATAATATTTATTAATCGAGGAAACCCTTCAACATTTGCTTCTAAATGTATTTCCCATTGTGTTTCATACAACCGTATCTCAGTATTGGGAGGTGTCTTCTCCCTTTCCATTTTTCATACTATTCATACTATTTAAGATCGTAAACACGAGAAGAAATGCTGATTTTTTAATTTTATGCCTGCCATTAGCGATATTAGATACATGCTCGTATAAATTGTTTTTTTCTATATTTAATATATCTTATATTGCCCATGAACTTGTCAATAAAAGTGACGTCATTTTATAAATGCAAAAATTCTGTTTATCACTAATATGAATATATTTTCAAAATTAAGCCCAACTCACTAACACAAACTCGGCTCCGAAAACAGTACCTGTAGGTACCTGTAGTGCTGCTGCAGGCGTCACATCGCATGCTGAACATATGTCGTTTAGAAGCCATTGACTTAACTACCCATCAATGCCACCCCATAGTCGATTTTCGCCCATAGACATTCTATCCTTACATATTTTTTGTATAGTTGCATCGGCCTATGTTTGGTATATTATAAGAAGCAGCTCTTGTGAGGAATGTTGTCACCAGGATGTCTTGGAAGTGCAGGTTTTGAGCGAATTCAATGTCGCGCAAAGACAGCCTGAATTAGAGCGTCGATGTTGCGCCCCTCAATTCAGTTTTTTCTCTCATAGCTGCGTAGTTCATGAGCTCAACGGCCTAGTAATGATAGGACCTAATCAAGTAATTGTTATCGACTAATAAAACAGATAGTAACGATCCATTAGGAGAAATATAGAAAGATGTCGCCAATGCAGTAAATGAAATGGTTCAAATATTTATGTTTTACACACATCGACTCATGTCAAAGGGAGCACAGCCGTGCACCACCAGTTTTGTGCACCAATAAGCCCTGAATCGAGCTCCTAGGATCTTTCCGGACATCCACCAATCAGCCGTGAACCACGTACTCGGCTTTGTCTTCCTCCGGCCTCGCATAGAACCTGCCGTGCACCACCTGGCCGCAGATCAAATCTGACTTCCGGGCATCGTTAAATTACGTAATTTTGCGTTCACCGCATCTGAGCTGAGGTTTCAAATAGCATAGTTCTTTTCCAAAATTTATCGTCCTTCGACAAGTGGCCGTTCGACCGAGGGCTGGTTCGACCCACGGTCTAGATACGGACGGCTTGAAGTGTTGAAGGCTACGTTCCGGAAGGCAGGAATCATGATGGTCCATTACATCCAGGGCAGTTGTGGTCTTCGGCAGGCGACCCATGTCAAATTGTCTTTCCCCAAGGCAAAGTTGTTTGATTTCAAAGTCAACTGCTGAAATCATTATCCAGTTTTAGGAACTAAAAAATATGAAATAAATATTTCTTCCTAATGACTATGCAAATATAGCTTACCCGCTGTAGCAATTAACGGCTTAAATTAGTGCAAGACTCAACTCGATGGTCGTTAAGGTTTTTTACGTCCAACGAATATAATTAGACAAGTGTCCCATTTCAGGTACGAAGTTAGTGTGCCAGCTATATGCAGTGGTAAAAGTTCCAACCATCCAATATGTCGACCATCACTTCGATCGACCACAGGTTGAAATTTTTTTGTGTATGTCTGCAATTTGAATGAGTACAATTTTTGATCATAAAATTCTATAAATTAATTCTAAATTACAATATATCGCAGCACGGAACCATGTATTAAAATCTTTCTATTTATAACACCTTAAATATTTACAATGCCAAATTTTACTGCTGCAATCGTTTAAATGAAAATCGGCAGCGATTAAGCGTTCTAGTCAGAATCGACAGTTAGTGAAGCACGTGTAGATAAAAAAGTGTGAGTATAAATAGTATTTTATTTCATTAAATCAACTCTAGTTTTTCCATGGGCTCGGAGCAGAAAAGATAATTTTTCGAGTATTTTTATGTTTGTTTTTTGAATAAATAATGGGCGCAAATGAGAAGCCTTGTGGTCTGGTGCAAATTGTAGTTGAAATTCGAGTTTTTTGCCAAAATGAAACCTTGTTAACATTTCACACAAAATGAATTTTTCTATAAAGTATTCTCAAAGGTATACTTATAACAGCTATAGTAACCGCTTAATTATCGTCCGATAAGCGGTTACAATTTTCCCTTGAATTTCAGTTGTAAAACCCCGTTGGGTTAAAATTTAGCTAATTAAAATTGGTGCTCCTCACTGTTATAATTTAGAAAGCCGCTTAACTTCTATTGTGTTTGATGATAGCTATGTACGCCATAGGAATTTTTTTTCGCATTCCACCCTGGTTTTGGTCACGCTAAATATCTAGAGGAGTTGATACCCGCTATCCAAGCAATTAGTCAACTAACGACTTGCAGGAGTCTCTGAGCGTTAATTGTGATTGTCGAATATTAAGGCGAGTTGATTCACATTCAATGTTTATTATGAAATTACTTTTTCCTGTGCATATTTTTTGGCCTGCAGTAATTTTGATGAATTTCGACAACTTATAGGTATTCATATAAACAAAATATAATACGACACATGCGAGGGCCAAATTTTCCGAAAACATAAGACAGACGCCAATCAAACGACGAACCTTCAGACCATTTGATGCACCCGCAAAGCAGGCAATTAAATTAGTATTAGGACAGGACACGTATCTCTGAACTAGCATGATAACTTTTATTTTCTCTCTCCGTCCTGTAGTATCGCACCACACTCGTTCTCTAGGCATGCTCACACCTCGTACATGATGAGCACACTTCTTGTTCACAGCGAGAAGCCAATAGGAATTATTTCTTAAACTCGCTTGTTTCTTTCCCCCAGCCCTCCACCCCACCCTGTCAGGCCTCGGCACGCGTCTCAAGGCGCGAGCGACTCCACGCGCCACACGGAGTGCCATCAACCGCCGTGTGACAAATTCTTGCGTTTTGATGACGCTCTTTGATCGCTTAATAATTAATGTTCGGGGCACAAGAAGAAGCACTTCAGTGATAAGCACCCAAGAAGCGTCGTATCAGTTAAGTTCGTACAGATACGAACTTGGGCAGACAGAATTTCTTTGAGAGTCCGGACCGTCGGTAGCACTTGTGGGCGGGACTCGCGCATCGTTTCTTGCGTGAAGCGTCGGTGGGGTTTATCGCGGTTGAGCAGTTGTGCCGAGTGCGCCACGGGGAGTGAGTGTGAGGTGCAAGCAGCCTCCTGTGCCAGCATGTCTTCTCTTGGAGGACATCGACTGGTCCCCATAAGGCCTTCCCCTCAGAGGGGAAGCGAAGGAAAACCCCCACCGTTCGTTTCAAGTGCCTCTCAGTCACCTAATGGGTTCACTCCTCCAAATATATCTTTCAAACGCAAGTTTTCAGACGACGAATCGGACGATTCTGACGCAGAAAGCTGCAAACGTAAAATAAATTTTGCCGTAAATTATGTCGTGTCGCCCCAACCTGTTTCCATTTCTAGAAGAAATGCTAGAGAAAGAAACAGAGTAAAGCAAGTGAATAATGGTTTTGCTGCACTTCGCCAACACATCCCCAGTGCTGCTAAAGCCAAAAAAATAAGTAAAGTTGACACCCTGAAGCAGGCCGTCGAATATATTCAAAACTTACAACAGCTGCTAGCGGAGAATGATGAAGCCCTAATAAGAGAGCAGCAACAATATATGAACGGCTACGCTTCCGACATGTCAGATTTCTCCCAGGACAGGATAGGGAACGAAAGCCTCCAACATCAGACAATGCAAAATATTTTTGCAGGAGGTTCTAATTACATCTTCCAGCCCTATAGCCCTGATGACGAAAATATTTCCCCGACATCTTCTTTTTCTGACCAAAACTATTCTCCTGAGCCACATAATTTTTCTTGTTCGCCTCTTATCACAGGAACTAAATTCAATTTTTCAAATCAACTGCCAGTTCAAGAAGAAATTTCGTCGACCGATAAATTTACTCCAACCAAGCAACCCATGAAATTTATGACATCTCCTTCGGTAGAGTCCAGTCCAAGTATGTTGAATAATTTTCAAAAAATTAGTAATCAACAGAAAGGTATTTATCGGCAAGCAATAGCCAGTTCACCCAAACAATTTCATCGGCCTCCAGGTGCCCCAGGAAATGAGCTTTATACAGTCTCCTCTGGAACATCATCAAAAGAACTATGCATTAACAATCAGTATGATGGGAGTCCTTCAAAAGAAATCTGCGATTCTCGTCCTGACCTCTTATCGAAAGAAATTTACCCGAACAGAGAGGGTAATCCAAGGGAAGACTGTCCATTACTCACGCAAGAGAATTCCCCTAAAGCTATGTATCCAAGAGAGCAAGTCAATTCCTACAACAGGAATGGACCACAATCAGTTCTTCCTGTGGCGTCGGATCCATTCCGTGTGAATCCTACAGGCTTGAAGGGCTCAAATATTGTGCACCACTACAGCTTGAGCGACAAATCAATAATTAACAATATGAACATAAAATATTTAGTGAATTCAAACCCACTGGCAAGAAGTGTCAGAGTTCCATTGATAATGGACGATAACAAGAATTTTAGTAACTCAGTGAACACCCGTGTGATAAAACCTATGCAAACCATTTATGAGAACAAGCAGTTGGAAAATGGAATGAACGCCACTGTCACAAAAGAAATGGTTGTTGATGAGAACAAGCCGCTCACGACGGCCGTGAACGTGATTAACATGGAGCCCGTGCCTGTATGCAAGCCGTTTCTAAACGCAGTGATACCAAGTATCCACAAGCCTAAATCAACAAATGAAAACAACCAATTTATCGATATCCCTACAAGAATGAAAATACCGGTAACACCTCAAGAGGGCGATTGCCCAGTTCTCTCAGGGGATCTTCCTCCTGAACATCTAACAGACATCGACTGTGCTATGGCTTCGGGTTTTCCGTCCTTTGAAAATATTGATGAAGTATACAACGTCATCAATCCAACCTCACCCTTAGTGGAAGAGGACTTGCTAGACGCAATCGACTTGTGGGAGAAGTGCTAACAGGATGATGCAGGTTAGTGAATTATTTTTAAAGTGGTTAAGATAATGTTTTGATAACAACTTTTCCTTTTACTCTGCCTTAAGGCGTGGTACATAGACTTTTGATTTCACTCTGCCACAAAGTGTATATATATTTCATGAGGTTAAGATAATTCCTTGTTAAGTTCTTTTTCATTATGCCTTAAGGAGCATAATTATCTTTTGAACTGTGTCGGATATTTCGAATGTAAATTTTCGTCGAAATTTGCTGCTTTTCTGTTTTGCAAAGACTTTGCTAGCATAATGCTAATTAAATACTCGACCGATTTCTGTTTGGTCTGCTAGTTCAGTAAAAATCTATGGATTTGAATACAAATATTTCGATGCATAGATTACATACACGCACATACACGCATACACACACAAACACATGCTTGATCACTCACTTTATTTTGTGTAAACAAGAATGATTAGTTTATGTAAATTATTTTGTGTTTTCTACATCGCATAAGATCTTATTTTCTTCTCGCGCTGAAAGGGAATCTTTTAAGACGTCTTATATTTATCTACTCCTAATTGATATTTATGATGTTTATAACGTCATAATTAACGAATGACGTATAACATCTACTAAACATTATCAAAGTCAGGAAATTTATTATAATATTTTCCTTAATACATCAATCTCTGCATTTTGTGCATAATATACGAATATAGATGGTAGGCCATATCCAATTAAATCTTGTCCCAAACACCTCGAAAAAAGCTGTCAGGTTACCCATTTCTTATGATCAAATCAGCTGAATTTCGCGGGGAATTTTACAATTTTGGTGAAAAAACAGCGATGCTGTCAAGTTCAAGTCCAAGTAGACCTAAGACAAGGTACATTTCAACCGCTTTGGCGCCTAATGAATTTGGCGGAGATATTTAGATAAGAAAACCGGATTGCATTTTTTATCGATCTAATTTTTTCATGCATTGGAGTAGATAAAACAGAATTGGAGATGCATCTCAATTTTATGCACTAAAAGAACCAATTCAGACCAGAGATAATAATCACCGACCGCGCCTACCATTAGTGTTGAGACTGTTGATAAGGCAAACATTTTTTCTCGAATGTTTCAAGTATTTTCACAGCCGCCTTATAGCTAAGCTGAAGATGTGACGTCTTTCTTCCTAACGACAGATCACAAGTTGGAATTCTCGACAATGAAAAGTTTGAATAACGATTCTAAATTTTTAGTTTTTCGTGTTAGGAAAAACTCCGCAAATGAATATAAAATGGTAGAAAATATTATTTTTGTAGCCGTTAAGCACAAGTTTTTCTGTTAATTTCTACTCAAGGAAGGCTTTTGGCGCCAAAGTTTTTCATTTAGTCTGTAATAAAGAAACGTTTAGCACCAAAAGAGTCCGTATTAAATTTATCACCGTATCAACGATTGAAGAAATTTCTTTTGTACGAACTATGAGGAAAAGCATTCCTCTTTGCAATACCAAACCTAATTGAGGGCTGCTCACTTCCACTGCTCAATTTTCGGCAGAATAACAAACATGGCAGGCCAGCGTCTTCACTATTGCAGCTGTCTGTGCCAGTCCTCTGCAATTGTGTGGCTCGCATCACCTTTATAGTTCAATTAAAGCGTGTTTATGCGTCAAACTCGAGTCTTGGCTCAGCGTCGCGTCGTCTCCTTTATGTTTTCTGAGCATTCCAGGCAGAGGCTAATTTACCTTGAATTTTGCCTAATAAAATGAGCTGCGCTTATGATTTATGAATGATACGCAGAATATTGACACGCACGAACTGCGAGAAATTGAGAAATTCTTTGCCGTCGACTTGAAGTTCGTTGATTTGGTTTATGCGTTGTTGAGAAGAAAAATTTCAAACTGTGAATATTAGTAATTTCATTCGAAAGTTATCCCATCTTGAAATTCGATTGCGAGTTAGAGTCAGTCTGCGCTTAATATTTTGCTAAAGCTAACTTGATTTGAACGTCCAAAAACATTTTATTCATCCCTATATCTCTCGATTTCTATTCATCATTTAATTGGCATAATTAAACAACTGTTGATTAGTTGCATTAATGAAAAGATTCATTGAAAATATGATGCTTATGGTATTCAGCATATTCCTGCCACTGCGTTACAGATGTAAATAATAATGCAAGTGATGCCAGTGCCGACGTTCGCTCATGCCGACGTCGTGTGCCTTTTACCACCGTTTCATCCAAAGGCGATGCCGAAGTCGATAATAAATGGCAGCGATGTTCGTACACTCTCTTCACTATCGCTTCATCCATATCAACCCATAAGCGATGCTAATGTTAACAATTAATGGCAGAGATGATCAGACGTGCCGACGTTCATGCGAAACCGACTTGAATGCAACCGGCTGCCTCCATGATCGGCGCCGTGCATGCACGCAATCGAGTTTTTTGCTTCTTTGTTTTAATTTTATTTGTGCCATTGCACCTGCAGCCTTGCATATACCCTCCCATGCCTTGCATTTTTGATCAGGCTCTGGCCACGTAATTCATGTTTCCCTGCAACTATTTAAAACGAAAAAAACTGTAGAATTTCAAGTACAATTTTCCAGCTATTATAGCGCTTAATCTTCATCAAGTAATCAAGAATAAATTGATCGAATATAGGACGCAACTTTCCTTGTGAGTTTGAATAGCTTAATTCCATCTTAATTCCATATAAGTCATTTGTATTCTCTAGATTAGATAGAAACATCCAGACCACGCGGAAAAAAATATAGTTAAATTAAGACCGCATCCTTATTATTGCTGCAGCAATTTTCAAGTTTATCAGTCATTCCTCGATTCTTTTGATCCATATTTGGTGGCGTCCAGTTTTTGCATTCTTCAAGAGCACTCATCATCTTCGAACAAAACCTGTTTCGGAAATAATTGCTGGGCCACTTCGCTTCTGTCAGTCTTGGCATGGTCAATCATCAAACTCAAAGTTCTTTTATTTCTTGAAACACGCAACTTCGAAGTAAGTGAAGGCTCCTATGAACGTAACTGCCGGTGCATAGCAGTAACATATATCATTATGCAAATACGACCAATGCTAAACAAAACCCAAACCATTGATATTGCACTCCGAGAAAATGGATAATAGTACATACACAGGTTCTATTTAAAGCTTGTACTTGAGTATCTTTGACACAGAATTATAACTGTTCAACCTACTTCGATCCAACGCTGCATTGAAGCTTATGGTATATATAATGCGCGGCCTTCACAATACGCAACTTGACTCAAAAATTTGTTCGTTACTTGGACATGATTTGTTCGAAATTAATCCGTTCTATTGTAGGATGGTATAGATGAGCCTTAACAGTAATTTTGGGAATAAATAATTGTAAAAACTTACCTTAATTTCTATTCCTAAAAAAATTATATTAAATGGCGTAAAAGCCAATTGTTCTAGGCACCGACGTAGATCAATGCTTGGTGCAATAATTTTTATGTTTCATTACAATGAAGCATAATTGTTCGCGCTATTCATAAAAATAGTTTGACCTTGTGCGAATTTACCATATAAGTATTTTGCGAAAAATTTCTTTCACTCGTGAGTTATTTAAAACAGTCAACTTTATTTACAAGTGACCTAGAAGTAGCGTGAACTCTGCTATTCTTGCCATGTTTTGAACCTACCTCATAAATTTCATTATTGAGGAGTTAGATTACCGATCAATGAGCTCATTAAGAAAGCATGCTGTTGTCAGTCAGTTCCTAATCAGCATTAATTGCCCAATTAGTGTTAAATTATTAGTTTATCATCTTGTATATGGCAGGCAACGATAATAATATTATTTATCTTTATACGAATACAAAATTGCTAAGTGCCCAATAATATTTTTTCTTTCTTTTGTCTAGCGTCATTACAAAGGGCAAAAATTGTACGCTAAATTCGCCGTTTTAGGCAAGAAGCAATTTACGGACTTGTCTGCTGCTGTTGCTTCTCACTGTCCGGTCCATACGTACACGTGCCTTCATATTTTCGTTAACGTGGCTTTTATATTCTCGTACACATGTCTTTAGTATTTTCGAACACGTGCTTTAAAGACGTATCACCAGTGGCGTAGAATCAAGTAACTAATGTGCATAAAAAAAACTCGTCTCTCCAACTATATATTATATGTGTTATTTTAACTCGACGCTGTTGAATGAACTATCAGATTATAAGAGTAATGCAAAATATATTTATCTTTAATAGGTTTAAGTATGTCTTTCGTAATCGATTTAATTAATTTTTGCCCATGCGATCTCTTCATTATGATTGATCAGGTAAATACGAAGTAAATGCCCTCGAGATCCTTCTAACTTCCACAGTGTAACTTTTCTGTGCTCTCATCATCACCAAGGTCATTATTGAAGCTAGAAAAAGTTAGTATTCACCTGTGATCAAATTCGATCTAATTCGATTCATCTATGATCAAAATTGCACTAAGCGATCAAATTCCGTGAATATTTTTCTTTGAGGAAAATGGAATAAACAGATTGAAATTTACAATGGAATGTGATCGTTAATCAAAATGAAAATCAACGGTCTTTAAAAATCAAAGGGAAGAATTTTCAAGAGATAAATCCTTCCATCAGGGCTTTACAACGTTCGAACCTTGAGAATATCGTTCTAACCGTCGCACGGGTTTGTTCAAGATGGCGTTTTTACGAGACTCTTCAACGAACGTTGCTTTCAGAGCCATTCACCGAGTTTCAGCTACCAAGCAAGTCCGTTATTTGAGAGTATCAAGTCCACACACAGCCATCCTTTCCGCTCTTCCGCCCGACCATTTATCCCACGAAGCAAAAACCTGCTACACACAAGGATAAAAAGCCTCTCGCCGCACAGGAAATCGTCCTTCCCGTGCCGCCTTTTCTCTTTTCACTCAGTACGTTCACTAGGGTTCACTCCTGTCGTTACTATAATCACTATACCCGAGAATAATTTTGTAGATTTCTAAAAATCTCGCTTTTGAAGTAGTTTTTGAAATGGTTAATACGCAAAATTTCTTTAACTTATACTGAAATTGGTCATCCGAAATAATTAGACTAACTCGTCAATCCTTCGTAATGTAACGATACTAGAATTCAGTTCCATGGCAACTCTGATCCTAGATCGACCAACCTTGATGGCTCTACCATGCGTGCTGCGTGCAATTGGCCGTGAAACTGTCGTGTGGTGTCATTGGCCGCCGCGGTACGATTCACGTTCCGCTGTGTGAACCTTAATGACACGACATGCGTAACGCAGCGATACTAGCGTCAGGTAATTCGGGTGTATTATTTCGTTCATTTTACTTCGCTATTCAGGTTATGATATTAAAAATGTTTTTTTTAATGAATCATTTATTGAAACATAAAACTCACTTTTTGCGCATGACATTGAAAATGTATTTATGCAGAGATACAACGGCGGCTCTGTGTATGTATATTACCAAGCATCCTAAAACGTGCTTCAGTTTTTGTTCTATTATTCAAATGAGTGGGGCTTATTAATTCAGGCTTCGTTACAGATGTAGAGTTTGATCAGTAGCCTGCTCAATCCCAGGACAAGAATAGCCCATGAAGCAGAATATTAGAATATCCATGAACCCAATATCTGTCATGCTCGAGGCAAAAGCAGGATCCCAGCGTTGTGATTTATGCCTTTAAACTTCGGATCTGCAAATACCGATCACGGCAAGAATTTTGATCGCTGTTAACTGCTTTGATTTGTGTTTTTTGCTCTTTGAACAATCGAATAATGACAAATGATTGTGCATATAAAGCGAATAATAACTACGTCCGTTTATTTTTTATTTATTGCTTCGTAAGGCATTCATAAACTGTAGGTTTGCCTCTATAGTTACAGGCCAAACATATGTATAAATGAATATTTACTTACTGTCCAGCTGGCAGGCTGTTGTGACATGATCATTTTTTGTTGATCAATTTTCTACATACACGCGAGGAAATCTCATTCATATTAAGAAAAATATTCCTTAAAGTCGGAGCATTGAGAATAATTTTCAAGCAGGTCGAGTGTTAAAGTCTTTGTCAATGTGCATCCTGCGCATATAAATGGAAACAGATTTTGAAAGTTTCAATGGAGGATTTTTTATCAGCTTTCTCCCTTTCCTAGATTTAGTGTCCTTATTTTTCCATGGCATTAAAGCCACCATAAAGGCGACGACCCAACTCAGGTACAGAGGAGCACAAAATGACTCTATTTTGGCCGATCCAACGGCTCAGATTTGAAGGGCTGATGCATCATCGCATCCCCATGGAAGAATTTTCCAGGCAAGGCCCTGATAGGCCGAGGCGCTCGAATAGAAATTAGTTCTTTTGAGAGACGGGAACGCTGAGAATGGCATGTAGGATCGCCTTAGAATTCCTTTATTATGCCACGCATTGCCGGGACTCGGTCCCATGGATACAAAGGACGTCGTCGTCCATGTGTGGCACGCTTACCTTTAACTCCGAATCTTCGGTCGCATCCACAAGATTATTGAGGAACCAGCCAACGGATGTCTTCAAAATATTGAATTTTAGGATATCACTAACGAAATCTTCATGATGGAGGTGGTTAATATTCAAAATGGGTTGAAAATCTATGGCTTGGCGAATTTAATTTCAATTGCACGGCAGCGGGCATAATAATGCACGTATTGACATTGTTGAAGTTACAATCATTACTCATTAATACGTGCTGAATGAGAGCACCAGGTTTTTATCAGAAATTTTGAGGTACCACATTTTTAAGCATAACCATCATATGCAAAACCATCTTTCTGTTTTATGCTCATCTCCGTACTATTGTAGCACTTATTTCGTCTAAATAAAATTTTTTTAATATTTTATACTGTAAAATGTGAAACAACTGTGAAGAAGTCTTACAGCAATGGACTTTTCATAACTCACATTCTTATAATTTACTCTTTAACACTAGATATCGGCTCTAATTCATAATGATTCCTCTATTTCTGGAAGCTACATATATATTAGGACAGTTGTGCTACATTTGATGGTATTCTTAAATTTAACGGGAATGTGTCACTGCATCGAAAATGACACGGCAACAATCGTAAAGCATTAACTAAGTGTGTCATACATGATACATCGCCCATGTAATACGTATTCACACATATGTATGTTACCCATCCCTGACGCAGAAAATGCAGCTTGGTTTTCATTCAAAATTTTCTTCATTAATATTATAGAGGCTCGGGTGGTGGAGAGTTTGAGATCTCATTCTTCCTTCGTATGAACCCTTATAATTGAAGGTCGCCTTATAAGACGGGAACTGAGCACTAACAATAATTTTAATATGCATCGTCTTTAATTAACTTAGCAATAAGTTGATAGAAATAAATCAATAAATAGAAGCAAGTGCTCGATGGGTTTTTAGAGTAAGCAAGCAACAATTGTAAGCAGGGTATGTGATTGCTTATTATTTCGGATTTTATTTGTTACGTTTAGTGAAGATGACAGGATGCCAGGAAGAAACATGATAACATCGCTCGCAAGTTACAAGAATTTCGAATTTCTGTGAATGTTGGATTTAACCAAAAAACACACTTGAATAAAAAAAAAAACACTTCACTATTATTTTGGTAGCCGAAATTTGGAATACGAATCGTGTCATCATAATATATCGAAGATTTGCAGCCTAGTTAATCTTTAGTTACGTACAATGGAACAACCCATTACAAGATCCCAAAGTATTTTTGACTTTTTTATGGAAAAATTTCATATACGCACCATTTATTTAATGATTAAATAACCTCCTGTTGCAGATAATTTATATGAATTCATTACAGGCATGAATGATTTTGTTTTTGTTTATTATTCCTAAAATGCTAACAATTTTTCCTCTTCTTTGCAGGCTGAAGCGAACTGCAAGAAAGAGTCTCATCATCTAGTCACATCTACAACTTAAAAGACAGCAATTGCTCCTGCGTTGCAAACTGCGAGCCAACAGAATTGACGGTCGACTGGTCTCTAAATGACACCTATATTAATAGTTGATCATTTGTAAGCAACATGTAAGGAGGCGATGTTAAGCGCCACCTGACTAATAATATTATTAGTTTTACCTGGACCTGAGAACAAGAATTTATTGACTAAGTGGATGAGGGATAAGTAAGACACCCCTGTCCAGAGAACTTATCTTGATTCGCGCTGGATACATGAGAGTTACATACATACATTAGAGTTATAAGGCTAAGACGTCGACCGTTACGTAAAAGTAGCTCTAACATGAGTTACATATAGCGGCGTACTTGTCAGTTACTGGGGGGCCTTACTAAGGTTCCCAGCCCTTTTATAGCGTCACGACTTCCTCCCACTACTGAGGTCTTGATCGCGTGATCTGTTATGTGATGTTGTCCATGCTGATTCAGGTCTAGTACTTTTCCATCCATCTCTATAATGTCTAGTGAATACTGAGTATCAATTACAGATGATCTTATCTTAGAATATAATTATAATGAATATAATGGGACACCTGATTTGCTAGATAGAAGCTAATGCAGGTTTTGTTCAAGAACAGAGAGTTTCTAAATATGTATACGCTTAGGTTATTGTTGGCACCAATGATTATTATCATGATATCATTTAGTGAGATCTAGCTATATTTTACTAAAAAATTAAGAAAACATTACAACGCCCAGCAATTAATCTGCGCTTACAATGCCTTACTTTCATATGAACTTAAAACCGTACTCGAAATGTGCTGGCTTAAACCGCCTCCTAGTTAATGCATATTTTGTGCCACATCTCTCTTTTAAATGTTGCAAAAACTCAAATGTGTCTAGTTAAACAATACATGTACGGCTTATTTTTTCCCAGAGGTTCTGAAGAGTCCACAACCTCTTTATATGTTTTGAAGAATGTAAGCTTTTAGTTTGTTACTTCAATTTGTTTTGTTATTGCCAATTCATGTCAGGACTTAATACAATCATTATAAGAACGTCCTGCAGAAGAACGGCTTCAGAATTTATGTGCTCTTTTTATGGTCTATCACTGAGAGAACGCTTGCAAGGGTTTAGGCTAGTGGGGAACCACGCTGCCGGTTCGCTTTATTCTAGTACTGATTGTTTGAGGCATTATTGTTGTGGAAGCATGAACCATTTTTTCACATGTCTTCATTTTCTTTTTATTCTCTTACTCGTTCATCTTTTGCAACGATCGGTTCTAACACCACAGTTGTGTTTGAACTGTGTATCCAAGCATCGACTCCCATGATATGCAATCTTAGTCTACGAGTAGTATAGATCCATATGTAGTTTGCATATGTGTAACTATATTGTAGCAAACTGAATCTGCATTTTATTTCTTCATTGCACTGTGTCCTATCTTTTTAATATTCTGTATCGTCGCCTAATTCGAGCTCAACCCAATCTTAAGTTAATGTGATTACTCGAGTTTTCAATGACAAAACTTCCAATATTCGTTCCATGTGATGCAGTCGAGAATGTGCAGGTATATTCTCCCGCCTGAGTTAGGACGTGGATACCATCAGACATGACAACGGAGGTTTGAGCTGAACAAGCTCGCTATTACTGGCCGCTTGCTTGTCATCCATACACTGCAGGGCTCCTTCCTTCTACACATGAATATACATATAAGTGAAGTCTTTTGTATTATTATATTGTTATTTTACGTGTATATATGGGCATTTATGTGTGTATGAAATGAATTTATTCTGCAACATTACATGAAGAGGGATATACGACAAAGTTAATTTTGTATCAAAGTTCAAAATTACCAACCAAATCACTGTAATAAATTCTCATAAATCAAGAACACAAAGAGTGTGTGATAGATAGGGAGTTTAATAATACGTTAAATAAATTGTAACTTTGCAACACCGTTTTTTATTGTCGTATCGAATAAGCAGCATACGGTTGTAAAAATATTTTATTTCAATTTTCTTTAGTATTTCGAATAAATTTTATTTCAGTTTTGAATTTTGCAATATGGTCAAAATTAGTAGGTTTGATTGATAATTTCAAATATTTCTGAATTTGGAAGGCAATTAAGAATCGTCATGTTTTTTCTCACAACTTTCAAACAGGATTATGTGTTCAAATTGTTCGGAACATGATGATCTCTTATGCATGCATTTATTACGATAAAAGACGTTATTTGTATTTACTGTTAATTATTTTTTCCTATACATTGCGCTCTCTTCGTAGTGAACGATTGTAAAAATGATAAATATTTTACCTTCTATAGATCTTGATGAATGGTGTATATACTCAATAGCTTTGCTTTATTATAAACAGTTCCTGTATTTTGATACTTAATAAAATATCAAATTTGTTAAATGTTTTATTGACTGACAAAAACCTTAGCTGTTGCAATCACTGTGCTGAATTCCACTTACACGAAATATTTTTCCAGGGCGTTCTGAATCACTCCAAATTTTTCATCTGCAAAAAATTTACTGTCTAAAAAAGTTTGGAAGTTTATTGAAAATAATGACTTCTGTAGAAACAGGACCCGTGCAATTTTAAAATTGACTTGTGAGAACATTGTTAAATGCTTAGTTAATGAAAAAATATGATTATTTGCCTCTAGGCAATAATTGCAATAACTAAAAATTCGAAAAAAGACTAAAATTAATAGAAAAACAAATGGTAATTACCATTGAAAGTCTATAAGTTTTACATGATATAACTCCCCTATTAGAGAATCGTCTATCGTCTAGAATCCCCTATCGTCGTTAAGAAAATCACTAATTTGATAAACGAACGCTACTCCTCCCAATAAACTGCACGGTTACTGAGGTGGCGAAGGACCGTGTTCTTCCTGCGACAGTACTTGCCCAGTACATCTCCGTGTATCATGCAATTGGTTCCTAAGGCCTGGTATATCCTGGTGGCCTTGTTAGATAAGCAGGCTATTTTTTCGTACTTAAATATAACTCCTTACATGCGATTTGCTCCAGCGACAGCTGCAAGAGACGCGGCCTGCCGACCAGAGCTTGCAAGAAATCGTTCTCTGCACCTGCCTCGCCAATCAATCCGGCAGGCCGGTGGCTTTTTCGGTCTGTCGGTCACCTGCTTTTGAGGCGACTTTGACGCAGTATGGTCCTCTTGATAATATATAATAAACTCTGTAAACCGCATTATACGCCATCTGAGACCTTTACTTGGCTAACATTTTGTCTCCTCCTTCTTACGTTTTGCTAGAGAATTTCTTTTAACCGAGCAGAGCTATGGAGAGCACAAGAGCTATAAAAGTAGCGAAGCAAATAATCGCGATATATACTGTACATCTCTAGATGATGCACTGATCTTCTTGAACTCCTTGAATTAAACGTATTTCGTAGATCTGCGCTCATGCGTGCTCGATGATATAGCGCTCTGTAAACTCCTTGTAATCTACGGATGCTTGTCGCTCAATTTCATAAATAGATTCCCAAGCTTCGTAATTGTTGAAAACACGGTTGTGAATGCCCATCCACCAGTACAGTATGTTTTATTGTACTCGTATATCATTGTGAGAGAACAATATAAGCGTTGACCATATCATGAATATACATTTGCTCATATAATTTCTAATTACGTGTATAAATGAATCAATTTGATTTGCTAATTTCTCTTTTTATATAGTGCGAATAAACTTTTTATTTTAGTTTTGACTAATATGCATAATAGAAGGGTCGAAATTTATTGACGCCCCAAAATCTTAGCTGCTATCGCCATAAGAAGAGCAATATCCAGCTGAGGGAGACGTGCTTTATATGCTAACAATTAACTAGTTATATATGTTCATTTGTATAATGTACATTCGTGTCAACTGCAATATTTGATTCACTGCGGGATCAGGAATGTTTTTCACTGGTACCTCACTTGTAATTGAATACCGAGGCCACAAGCAGCTTAACCTCCAGCAATTTATTATGAGATATTATTAGATCCCTACAACAGCCTTGCGGTCAAATTTGTCTTCTCGTTAATAGTGCTATTCCTACGCAGCTTAATAATTGATGATGTTAATTGGTCCTAGAGTCACGACGGCTATTTCGCTACAAATGATTTTGATCTCACGCAGACACTGGTAAAAAAATACACGTTCCATAGCTGAGGACCAAGAAACTCTAATGAGCAACATATAATAAATGTCGCGAGCCTAGATCAATGATATCAATTATGTTGTAACCAATTAACGATAGTCCCGTGAAATATGAGGCCATGTAATGAATTCAGTACATCTCGATCAAACGATCAGCTCGATGTAAGTTATTGCTTTGGTTCAATAGCCAGATGCTTGGCTCTGACTTCAAATATCTTCACGTACGACTAAATTACCTGAACAAAATTTTCCTTGAATTCCATTCGCAAATTCCCAATCATGAATTCGATAATTTATCTGTATCCACACCATTATAGCCCCTCATGAGTTTTGAATTCTCAGCCACTTCACCCTTAATTGAGCCGAGCTACGGAGCAGCAGAATTAATTTCATTTCTATGATCGCCAAGGAATTCTGTGACTGAAGGCGGTAACAAACGCAAACCTTTTTAATAGTTTGTGTTTAAATGATTACTTCAATCAAATGCCCCTTCCAGATTGCTTATTAAGAACATACGAAAATGCCAGCATCTATTTTTCACTACTTATTTAAGCCTTATCTATCTTTGCTAGATTAAGTATTGGATAGTATTTATGATTAAGGCACGTTAATTATAAATACTATCCAATGGTTCTTATTAGTCGTTATTATTCAATGTTGGTGTTTTAAATAGGATGTAAAGTTTTAAAAATGCTCGTAACATTTTTCGGTCCGGTCTCGCAAACCGAGACTATTTTGGTGTCGGACCGTCGAGGGCAGGTACTAGCAATTTAGGATAGTGAAATAGGCCTTTATTTGTATATATGTTGTTTGGCTAGAAGTAAATTGTTTGTTAGTTTGCTATATTTGTAATTTTCTGTTTACTGGGAAAGAATCAAGTCTCACTCTTGAAAAGTGTTAGAAAACTTCCAAGATCAAGTATACCAATGATAGAATACGATGCGTCGACAGATTTGCATCTGTATTACCTGGTTTCATTGTGTTTATATCATTAGCTGAGAAGACTTAAATTCATGCGAACTTAAGTTTTTTCACCACAAACAGTAATTACCTTAGCTCTAATACAGTAATTTACGCATACGTATTCATAAGGAAATAGAATCCTCAATTTAAAACCTTGCCATAACGGAGAAGAGTAGAGGTAAATTTTAGAATTCAAATTCAAACACACGATACTATCACATGAAACCTGATGAAAATTTTTTCTAGAGTAGTCAAAAGGGAATGAATTTCATAGGTCAATTCAAACATTTTTATCTCCACGA